CCGGCCGTCTGCAGCCAACAGTGAAATGTTAATAACATTTTGGCAATAACATACAGGCACAGTGGAGTTGTTAGCATAAATACTTAATAAATATACATAAACTTTAAACATTCTGTATGATATTATTAGTATGTAAAATAATTATGCCTTTGCTTGGGGTTTTGTCTTACCAATTAGATTTATAATTTTAATTAAATATAAAATTAAATTTAATTTTGCTTAGTACCTTTTTTGACACTTTTTTTTGCTTTTTGTTAGTCAGAATTCTGCTATCTTTGCTAGATTAACGTTTCTTTTGCTCCTCCCCTTTCTCTTTTGGTCTCCCCTGTCTCCCCGAAATTCTTCTGTCGCTGACGTCGTTGCTTATCAGCTGTTCTTTTATTTGTACTTTCATTCCATTACACACGCAGGCACACACACCACACACACACACACACACAAAGGCACAGGGGAGGAGAAGGACGTGGGAATGCAAAGAGAATCGAGCCAGCCACCCACCCAAAAAAAAGTTACAGTGAGCACCCGAAAATAGTCAACACTCTCTTTTATCATTATTTTTTTTAGTTTTTAAACTTTTGGTATTTAAGCCTTTTAATAAGTTTGATAATCAAACCAAATACCAACCAACCCAGGAGTATAAATTAAGGTTTATTTACCATTTGAGCTTTGGTTATAATTATTTATTAATTTATAAAAATTTAATATTCATTTAAGAATTTTTTGGATATTAAGAAACCGCAGAAATATGTTTAAATTATTGGGCATACATTATTTATTCTCATCTTTCACTGTTGTTCAAGTTACCTCGACTTTAAATTCGTTCTTTCTACCGAGAGCTCACTGTAAACGAAAGAAAGCCAGGGAGAGGAGAGGAGAGGAGAGTAGAGGAAAGCGGCAAAGGGTGGCAGGTGGGCGGTGCAAAGAGGAGGAGGAGGAGGACGATGAAGAAGAATGGATGCGAATGTATAGGCATTTCAGGTGGGTGGTGCAAAGTGGGCAAAGTGGGCGAAACTGAATCTTTATGTACTTTTATGTACTACAAGTTCTGTGCATTTATGTATTTACTGTATTGTGTGTGTGTGTGTGTTTGTGTGTGTCACGAGATGTTGATGACAAAATCAACGTTAAGAGGAGAGCCGTGTGTGCGTTTGTTGTGGTGGTGCAATTAAGCCCTACACAGTAAAAAAAAATACCCTCAAGACTCTCAGGAATGCGTAACAGTAGGCACAGTTGGGGCTAAAATAATAGTGGTGAAAAATAAATATGTTATTTTTAACGGAAAATAACTAAGAAACCTTATAGTTCAAGAAAAATAAACCTTTACTAGCCCTTAATTCATCCTCTTTCTAACCTAGCCATACACAGAGAAGTATTATTTGTCTTAAGATACTTAATTCACTTAAAAATTAACAATAATAAAACCTAAAACTCAAACATCATTCACTCAAAAAAGTTCGATCCATATAATCATAATAAATTCCTTTCAAAAGATATATAACATTTCTTTATATTTTTATAAGGATTTTAAAGACCTATCAATGTTGAAAACGGTACAAATACACTATTTTGATATAATTTTGGGAGATATTTAACTATATTTATATTTATTTATTAAATTTTTATGCACTTACCCTAACTCCAATAAAACGAGCCTCCAGAAGCTCCTGTTTTCGCGGATTAAGCGACGTTTGAAATTGATCCATTGCGTTTAACTATTGTCCGATTGTTTTTATTAATTGAGATTTCTCAGTTTTTTTTCTGCCACTTTTTGTTTTCCTTGTATAAGTTTATAAGTTTTTTTGTATTATTTTTTAACTTATTCAAAATTTGTATTTTGATTTTGAGATTGATAGCACTTGTCGACAGCAAAGGCGACAAGATTTGTCAGGGCCATGGCAATAAAATGGGAAATTCATCTGTAAAAAATAATATTTCAAATAGTTTTTATACATTATTACTGATATTTTCTTTTATATACATACAGTGCTGCTAATAAAGTCTTATCGAAAGGCGTTTTCTTATCTTAAAAAAAAAAAATTTGGTTTCTTTTTATAGAGCAAACAAAAAATGACCAAAAATAAAACCACACAACTATTATCAAATCGTGCCTACAATTATGAACTGTCATAAAAAGCACTACAATGGTTTATAAAATAATACTTTTAAGATTTTTACTAGTTTTCGGGTAATTCTAAATATTATATTTATCATTTCTTTCAAATTAAAATTCAATAAAAGCAACTATTTAATTTAAATTTCTCCCAAGGGTTAAATGTTCAAAAATGCATATTATTTAATTTATAAAAAAAAATACTTTAGAACTTTTTACACTAAAACAAAAATAACAATTTTAATATAATTTACAGGTATATAATATTGATTTGTACGATCAATAATTAGGAAAATAGATAATAACTATATTTTTTAAAAATTAGGTACAATTTTATGGAATTAATAAATAATAATAATATTATATATATATATTAACAAGAAATGCAGCTAACTTCGGCACGCCGAAGTTTATATGCCCTTGCAGATTACAATTCCATTATTTATAAAAAATAAAATTTATATTATATATATTTATTTAAAAAAAAAACAATGAATCACTACTTTCCTATCATTCACCTGTACATAATATATTTATAGTTTTACAGAAACAGTTTTTCATCAACAATTATGCATTTTCCTGCAAGGGTATAAAACGATCAAGTAAGATCGCATAAGGGTTAATCTTTTCTTGCAAAAACAAAAACAATCATACACTTCAAGCAATATATACATACATAATTATCACATTAATTTAGAGTAAATAAAATGCATTAACAAATGTTATGTTTTTCCCGTATTCCGTATTTCCAGTTGGAATTCCCAATAAGTATGTTTTTTCCCCTCCCTGAACCTTATTTTTCGCTTCCATCTTTTTTTTTCTTTCTCGTTGTTGTTGTTGTTGTTGCTGCTGCGCTTTTGAGATCGTCATCTTTGAATTCAATTGGAGTGCGATTTTTTTGTATGCTCGTTTGCAAGAAAGAAAATGCCAATCAAAGAGGAGACTTGATAAAAATGAAGAAAAGCCACTGAGTTCGAAGTACTAACTGAATGTACATACATACATACATACATACGTGTACGTATGTTTGTGATATATATAAGTAATAAATAATATTATAAAGCCACGCCTCTAGGCGCCCCTCACACACACAAGCACACACTTAGTACATACGCACACAGACAAGATCGTCCATATAAATTTGTAGCGCATTTTTTTTTTGTCTTTGCACCGGTATTTATTAGCTTTGGTTTTACCTTTTGCTTTTTCTTCTTTTTTGCCTTGCATTTATTTCGTTTTCGTATTGCTTGTGTGTGCGAACGAGAGCGGCAATCGCCGGTTGGACAGCAAGAAAAAAAATATGTTGTTTCAAGAAAAGCGATTACTACAACAATAATAACAATACAATAAAAGCACCTACACACAAACACACACACACACACACGTGCACACACACTCACAGGGACTTTTCACTCGAGGACCGCTGTCTCGCTCACACTCGCCGACTTCGCTTTTTCTTTTTTTTGCAAAAACGCTGCGAGGTTAAGTTTTTTTTTTTGGATTTGCAATTTTGCGAGTTTGAAGACGTTTTCCGGTATTTTGCAGCCGTTGCGGGCACTCAAAGGCTAGGGGCCTATTCCCATAATCCGTAATTATGTTTACATCGGTTTTTCAATGCCGTATTTCCGCATTTTTCTTATATTTTGTCACAGTAAAAAAATTCACTTTTAGCCACAGCGAAGCCAACACACAAACACTCGTTTAGCTTGCACACACACACACGGTAGCAAACACGCGCGCACACATGCAGAAATGTGCTAAAAAATGCGCTCAGCTGGTGTTCGCCAAAATTGCTGTGGCGCCATCTTGCAAGTGCTGCTGGAAACTAAAATGCGCATAACGTGCACACTTATGGCTGTTAACGGACAGGACGGTATTTTTCTGTTAGGTTTGAGTCGATGCTAAATAATATTTAGTTATTTAATATTTATGTTTTATATTTGATGTTTATTGTTTATATTACATTAAATAAAATCAGAATTAAAATTTTAGTCGTATTAATTTTTATATGTTTCAAACCGCTATTGTGAAATTGTAAAATGTGGTCAGATGTGAAGATGTTGGGCAAACGGACAACTGTTACGCGCTGGGTTGCAAACATAACATTGACATTCCAAAAATATATATAAATGTGCTCAGATCTAATGAATTATTGTATTTGTTATTTTTATGGCATTCTTTTAAAGTTGTAGCAACAAATACCTAAAATATATGTTTTTAATTTATTTTACCCTTTTACTTTTGTTTTTCTTTCTTAAATAGTTATGGCAACACTGGTTGCTTATTACAGCTCGCAGCTAATGGGTTGAGTCTTGGCTACATTTCTCTCAACAATATTCTGTTTCTATTAAATCGATAGTATTGATGTTATTGACTTTTATTATTTAATGTCCAATCGAAAATATCCCTACAAATTGTAATAAAACAAATAATATATTAATTTAATTTAAAAGAAACATCACTAAAACATGTTAAATATACGTTTTAAATTAGATTTTTTAATTTTTTATCGAAGCTATAGTCTTTTATTTAAATTTTTAAAAGCCACAGCTATCTATTTTCTTATGCCTTAGTCTTCTTCAGGCTTTAAATAAGGATTATAATAAATAAATTTCAATGTATCGTGTTATTTAAAAAAAAAACAATATCGATATTTTAGCAGTTTGTGAGAAAGAATATACAAAAATAAATTGGAATATAATTTTTCTGTGGTTGCATTCAATGTTAGAAAATTAACGTAGAATTCGTGGTTAATAAATAAATTCCAGTCAACAAAGACCGAAATTTATATTCTGGCAATTTATCTCACTCAAATCGATGTATCGACAACAACCATAGTATCGATAGCAGGCATAGTTGTTTTTGCTGTTGTACTACTTGGTCTCACTGCTGCAAACGGTCACACTGTTTCAGACTTTCATCTCGCGTTCGTGCATTTTCGCATTCCTCGTCGTTTTTTAGTTGCGGCGTGCGGCGAAAAATCGAGAAAAGTAGAAGAGCCAGTCAAAAACTTTTCCCCCAAAACATTTCTCACTGCTGTCTAAATCGGCGTGCGTCTTTTTTGTTAAGTGCAAACAGTGCAACATTTCACCAGGCAGAGAAAACAAAACACGGAATAAAACGGAAGCAACAAGCCAAAGCGGACAGGCAAAAAACCCGAAGTACGCCAGAAAAAGAGAAGAAGCATTTACAACAACACAACAACAAAAAGTGATTACGCATATTCTTAATTTGTTTTTTTTTTGCAGTGCAAAAACATATACATATATCACAAATAATTGATGGGAATATGGGTGGATTCATAGATTTTCCTATGGGATTTTCTTCTTTCTTCGTTTTTGTTTAATAAACAAAAACTGTAAAAGCCGCCAAAAGGCGCCGCTGCCGGCGTCGCAGTCGTCGTCAAAGAAAGTGCGCCAGCCTTTGTATGTGTTGTGTATGTGTATATATTTGCGTGCGTGTGTGTGTTTGTGTGTGAAGCAAAAGGCGAAAAAAAACCAAGCCCAAAATGTATAACGGAATGTGCATGGCAAAAGTGAAATTTCTCTCTTTCTTTCTGAGTTTTATATGATCTTTTTAGTATTTAAATCAAAACTGAATAAAAATGAAAAAATAAATCCAGGCTAATTGTTTATTCAGCAAAATAAAGAAAAGAGGAGCCGGACACAGAAGGAAAGAGAGAGAGAGAGAGAGAGGCAGAGAAAAGAAAGGAGAGGGAGAGAGGGAGAAAGAGAGCCGTTTATCAACGGCTATCAGCGGAAATATATGTTTTTCGCCGCACCCCGCTTGACCTTATTCTCTCTCCATCTCCCCCTCCCCCACTCGTTCTTCGCATTCCTCCCTCTTTATCTTTATCGCTCTCTTTGTGTGTGTGTGTGTGGGGTGTGCAAGGTGCAGTCGACGTCGACGTCGCTGCCCGCATTTTGCTCGTTGACTCATACGCACACACACGCACACGCACTCCCCCATTGCCCTTTTCAATCCCTATTCCCCATTACCCCATTACCCCTTTTCCTTTTTACTTTTTGTTAACTCTGCTCTAAATGTTATTTTACGTATTTTACGGTATTTTTCATACCAGGTTTTTGTTTTTGTTGTTGTCAATAAATTGATCTGTTCTTCAAAAGATTCATTTAATTTAAATTTGGAAATGTTTTCCTGTATTTAAAATTTATTTGGTAAAATAATAAATTCGATTACCCTTTGCAAATGCAAAATATTCATAGATAATGCTATTTTTATGGCATTTTATACTAGAACGAACTTAAATATTATTGTATTTCTTATGAAATATAAAATAAGAAAAGAAACTTATTTTCCAGAAACCGAGGTTTATATACCCTAACAGTTTGCAATTTTTTATATTACAATATTTTGGAAAAAATCAAAGTTTAAAAAATTCATAACTCAGCTAAAAATGCATTAATTTTAATTCGGAAAGCTTTCCCATGTTAGTTTTTATAATATTAATAAATCTGCTTACTCAATTTAAAATTTTACGAAATTTAAATTTTTTGACCATTTTTTGATAATTTTAACGATGTAACCCCTTGTAAAATTTGGAAAAAAAATATGTAAAAATTTTTTTTTCCCAGAGACGGCTAAATCGGTTCAGAATTTGATGCTGATCAAGAATATATATGATTTATGGGGTCGGAAATGACTCCTTCACATAATATCAAGCTTCTGACTAAAATTATAATACCCTACATTCCATCAGAATGTAAAATTGAGGTATTTAACTTTCTTATTTTAATTATTTTTCTTTAGATTTGAGGTTTTATTTTTGTGTGTGAGTTTTTCACATTTCTTTTTTAAATCACTTGGTGACCCGTTTTTCTCCCTCTCTCTCCATCGCTCCCTCTCGCTCGTTGAGCTGATCTTCTCAGTCTTATGAACGTGCCAATTTTAAGATTCTGTTGCTAATCGCTAACCGACTTTGACATAAGCGTTAGATCATCATGATCATAAGATCGTGATGATGATTCCCGCAAAACTTTATCCGTAACTGGATGCGCGAGTTCGAGATCTTATTCGGTACGGTATTCATTGCAAATTAAAAATAAAAGACGACAAGAAATACGAACAAAAAGTCAGAACGTGACACAGAAAAAGCTAAAGATAAAACAATTCTGTTAAATTCATGATTTACAGTTTTTAATTATATATATATATGTCTGTATAGAGAGAGAGGCTTCAAGTTCAAGTTCAATTTGTATTGCTTGTGCCTTAATTTAATCATTTTTCTGACTCAACTCTCTGAATAATTAGTGTTTTATTCTATTTTTTTTTTTTTTTCGTGGGTGCGTCATACACCATTATTCTTTGGCTCTTTCCCGACATTTGCTAATTATTATTTGTTTGTTTGTTTGGTAACCAAGGGGCGTCAAAGCTTTCCGCAATAAACAGAAATAAGAGAAGAGAGTATTGCACGGTTGACGCTTAATTGATAACAAAAATACAAAAATAATAAATAGAAAACTCATTTTTGTTATCAATAAAAAATACATATTTACACCATTATCGATTTGTTGGTTTCTGAAACATGATCCATAATCATAATCCATTGTACATTGAGTGTTATTATTATTCAAAAGTTTGAATCATTCAGTTTTTTCACTCAAAGTTGATAACATATTTTCTAAGCATTTGCAAAATCAGGAAAATTAAAAGTTATATTCTAAAAGTAACAAATAATTGTATAAATATATACAAAATAATTGTATTTAAATAATAAAACAATTTGTGCTATCAAAAAAATATACATATTTCCTCAATTAAAGATTTCCTGGTTTATAAAACATGATCTATCTTTAGATACCATTGTAATGAAGTATTTTTTGATTATTTTAAAGTTCGCATAATTAAACTTTATCAAGAAATATCCGATATATATTTTCTTCGCACACAAATTATCAGGAAAACATGATCTTTCTTTATAATATATTGAAAATGAGGCATTGATTATTATTTTGAAGTATAAATAATTCAATTTTATTACAGTAAATATATTATTTATTCCCTAAAATCAAAAAACTTAAAGTTGCAATCTAAAAATAACGATTAACTGTATTATAAAGAAAATTATAGATGATTTTTGTTTTAAAATCGGACTGACTATAATAATTTGGACTATGTTAGACACTATCTTCTGTTCTTCTGCTTTTTGTCTGACCTTTTTCTAATGCCATTTCTCTTGTCTTTCTTATCCGCTTCTTAAACTTTTGCCGGCAGGTGGGAAAAGATTAAGATAGAAAAAAAAGAAGAAAATAACACAACGGAATGGAATACTGACTCATGATCTTCGCGGCTCTGCAGTGACATAGTTTTTATAATTTTTTGTATTCCATTTTTTTTTTCGTACCTTGCGACGCGTTTTCTCATCTTTTGTTCCATTTGCTAACTTGGCCCACGGGCAGAAAAATAGCGCAACTTGGCAACTTAGCCCAATTTATAGCCATCAAGCTGTGATTTGCTCTAATTTCACTCCTAATGGGAGTTTGTCAAGGGAGAAGAATTAGAAATTGGAGAGAATTGTGTATTCTTTATGCTCAATTATATCCGCATAAAAGTTTGGTTTTATTCTTTTGCTAATGATAATGGTTTAATGTTGGTTTAATTTACTATTGTGGAAGGAAATAATGTGATTTTTAACAATGTGATTTAGTTAATTAAAGTTCACTTTTGGTGAAAACATTTTTAATGCTCAGATTAATGAGGATTTTATGAGAAATGTCGTATATCTTTGGACTTTGGTTGAAAGTTTGTCTCTAAAATATTTCAAAAATATTTTATGGAAAGTTTTAAGCAAGTTGAAGAAGTATTCAGCAACATTTTTAATGATTTCCCGGTACCTAAGGTAGTAAAAAGCTAACAAAAGAATTCAAACCAAAGTATTTATATTGGTATTTGAAAAGTCATTTATTTTAATGCTTGAACACAAGTTTCTAGGTATTTTACCTACATTTTTAAGTATTCCAGGTACTTAAGATCATAAAAACTGTACAACAACATTTAAATTGCAAAAGTTAACTCAAGTATTTATACTGATAATTGAAAATTGATACATTTCAATGCTCGAGCACAACTTGAATTAATTTTTTGTATAGCAGTACACAATTTTCATAAGTATTTAACTCAATTTATATGTATTTCTGGTATCTAAGGTAGTAAAAATGTACAACAAATCTAAATGTAAATGTAAATTGCAAAAGTTAACTCAAGTATTTATACGGATAATTGAGAATTCATACATTTCAATGCTCGGGCACAACTTTACACACAAAATTCATCGTATGAATAAGCAGGGGGGCTTTGTTACATCATCGTTTCAGCATCTCCAAAGTTCTCTGACATTCCTCAACCATATACAATATATACAGGTTTTTTTGTTGTTTAGTTTTTTTGGGTTCTCAAGCTTTTCTTCACGGTCTTTGTTGCTATTTTTTATCGCATTTGGGGGATCTTTGATGAGAGAGCTGAGACTGTAAGCCTAGGTTTTAATTATGCTCTCTTCGCTTCAGAAAACACTTCCCACGCATTGTACCTTTCTTTGGGGTGTGAATTTAACTTATTTCACTCGTATCTGCAATGGCAGATCAAACGTGTTTGTCCAAATAAGAAAATGGCTTTTAGCTTGACAAGTTAAGCCGCCTTTCGCCATGAAAGAAAGTTGTTAAAAACACAACTGAACAACAAGAAAATGTACAAAACAATTGAACAAGTTCCTTGCATAAAAAAAGAAAAGAAAAGAAAAAGAAATCGAAAACTGCGGAAGAAATGCTGCAAATGTGTGAATAGTTCAAAGCCTCAGGAACCGCAGTAACAATTCAAAATACATTATTCTGAGAAAAGAAAGCGAGAATTTCCATTTCCCAGCCTTTTCCATATTTAAATATTATGCGTTAATTACTTTATTCTACTTAATTAACGGGTACAAGATTGATTTAATTGAAAAATGTTGACACCAAAGTTGATATCTCTCAGAAAATGTATTTTAATAATGAGATTTCTGTGAGTGCAGTGTGGCAACTTGACATTGAATGCGTTGCACGCGACTGCGCAGCTGTATTGTTTTAAATGGTAATTTACGAAATGTTTATTTCTGACTCGGCATTAATTAATTGAATAATTGTTTTTGTTGTCAATTGCTTCGAGAATTGTATAGTGTATACTAGAAGAATGATTGGTTATTCACTTTTTTTTAGCCT